TTCTAGAGACTTTACACGCTTGTTACGGGATATCATAAGAATCGATTTAAAAAAATTCCAGCTTTGCGCCGTGAACTTCAATATTTTCATTTTTTAATAGCCCTGACTCCCGGATTATAGGCCCTTTCTGTCTTTGTCTACGCGTGCATGCGAAACAAAGACAGAAGGGGCCCATGCGCAGCTTTCTCTTTCTATTCCTATATCGCTTTTTCAGCTCGCTCGCGCACTCTATTCTTATATCTCTATGGAAGCAATTGACTCAATATATATATTATATATATATATATATATATATCCCTAATTTACCTAAATAGAAATCTTCCTCCTGACCGATAAGTCTATCGACCTAATTTCGAAATACACGCGCGATATCGAAACTGGCGATACCTGCGCCGCCAGCATCGAAAAAGTGAAAGTGACGTTTCTCTGATAATCATAATAATATTGAATGAGAGCGTCGACGTAGACGACGTATCTTAATAAAAAATTTTCACATTTGAACTTTGCGTCGCAATATCTCCGCTCGTAGGGCACGTAGCGGAATATTATAAGAGAAACCCCGCCTCCCCTAATTGGACCCCAAGCTATCGATCAAGCCTACTTAGAACTTGATCCGTTCACTCGTTATCGAGATCTCAACATCTCGGGTACTCGCAACTCGTCGCGTCGCGTAAAAGAGTCACGGTCGGTCTCGCTCCGCGTGTACTTGGCGCGAGACACTGCCGTGTCTCTTTTGATTCTTAATATTTTATTTATATTGTTCATTGGATCTTAATGTTTTTTTTTATTATTTGTTTTGTTGAATTTCTTCGACACTAAAAAGTGTTAAAACTTCTTCAAGTATCTGCTCTTCATCCAGTATTGATAACATTAGTTGCCTTTGGAGTCTCGTACATTTTTGAATTGAATAATTCGTACATCTTGTAAGATTTCTCTTACTTGATCGATCTCACGACGGCTCGGTTCCACGGCAGGAATGGGTAACATAGAATTCCACTTGTATCTCTATTACAAACGCGTCTTTAATTATAAGTTCCGGGCTTTATTACAGCAGTATTTTCATCCGCGAGTACTTACACACATCCACACGCATTCATCCATACACACACGCACTCTTCGCGCTCGTAATTCTGTCCTCGTGGAAGAACAGTCATATAAAATAAATGTACAAGCGCATGTCAAAACCGGAGGAAAACGAACGAAACCGCTTATGGCCCGCACGATGTATCAAATGGCTCGCGAATTCCCATTACGCGGCGCTCGAATTATTACGTTATGGCCGCACACAGGCTGGCCGCAAGTTAAAGTTAAGTCTGTAAATGTGAGGTACTCAGCTGTGTGCCTGTAGACTGTACTGCGCTGGGATTCCCTCGGTGGCTCTCTCGCCTGTTCCGGGGGCTCTCGGCTTCGTCTTCTTCAATATCGCTGCGTTTATATTGGGCGGTATTCGCCAAGATCCGTCGCCGGCAGTGCGATGACCGTGTGAAGATCGCCGGAATTCGGTCTCCGACCGAAGGATTTTAGATTAGCTGCCTCGGCTCTTCAGATACGTGCGCCGCTTGGAGCACCCAGAACGAAAGAGACCGAGCCTCGCTCGGTCCCATCGATCATCGGATCGCGGATCCGGCATGAGCAAATCACCCGCCTCCCACTTCGGGAGAATCATAGGGTGGTGGATGGTAGCGTGCTCACACTATTACACCCCACATATTACATCTCACATATTACATCTTACAATCTTTGGATGGGGTTTGAAGGTGGTACAGCAAGACTTCGTCACGTTAAAATGGATCCGAATCCTCAAAATTGCTGTTAGCATTGCGAACTGTATCCTATTTCTAAATTTTGTTTTGACGGAATTCATTACTGAAAAGACTCTCAACTACTGCATTACTTATTGGTAAAGATTGCACTTTTAAAGCAAATTGAGCCAACTCTTTAAACTGTTGACGTCCGCTGGCATCTTTGAAATCGTAAACATTAGACCAAAATTTGCAGGTATCAGACATTATTTCTTCTGAAAAATAGTCACGCCAATTTACGAATCCAATATTACGAATCTGACTTTCAATTATAGTTAAATTAGCTCCATCGTCGAGTAATTCTAAGGGCAGATAATTAATTGATGGCTTTGTTAATGTACACAATATTTTTCTGGGTGTAAATCTTGCTGACATTTTAAGTATTGAAAAATTATTTGGCATAAGATCAACAAGTTGTTTGCACAGAATGATTAGATAATCATTGCATCTCTTCTGAACCTCATTCAAGTCTTCTGAATTGCATTTGCATGTCAAACGTTGAAATTCTATACCATAATCAATCTCTTTCGATGACTTGAAAGCCAACTGATTATTTAATACTTCTGTAATGCATGTCACACTTTCAGTTGCTTTTAATTTTTCCATAAATAACGGTTTTATAAAACGACTACACACTGATAATATGAGTGTCCACAATGCCTCATATAGTTTGTAGATATCCTGATTTGAGCTTTGAAAAAGAATATTTACTTCATTAATATCATGTAGAATTGACTTTAAAAAAGTTAAATATAGCTGACTGGTCGGGTCTTCATAGATCATATAGTCAATTGTCTTGCTGTATAACATCTATTATCTTTTCGAGCTGCAACCATTTTAAAGTGTGACTTTAGCTCAAGCCATTGATCCAGAATACGAATGACTGCACCTTCCCAAGCTAACCATCGAGTATCAGAAAGTTGTATTAAAGCTAACATTTTCTTGTCGTTATTGTTGATCAAATTAAACAAGTTTTTACACTCCTCAATTTTTTTAGAACTATTTAAAAACCAATTACGTGACTCTTGTATTAAAAATTCCGAACTTGAAGGTAGAACATCAGATGCTTTAGAGCTACACGTAGAGATGCAAAGAATGGCATATGCATTGAATCAAAATTAAATGTGGCAAAGGAACGTTGTCTCTTAAGGGTCGACAGGAGTAACACTACCGACCTTTGTCGGGTTGCTTAGCTGCGAGTCCGTATTTTATTTATTATAAATTTTTTAAGAGCCAAAATGGAAATTTCCGGCTTAATTTGAGACGTTTACGAAACCTTTTATTGCCTATACATATAAAACGTTTCAGATTTGCTAAATTACAGTCGAAATGTGATGTTACAAGAGGGTTACATGTTTAGCGGAATATATCTCAAAAGCTAGTTATTCCATGAATGTTCTATAAATATTCTTTAGAATATTCATGAATTTTCTATGAATGATATATAAATGTGCAAAGAACGTGTAATGTCCCGCTTTCAATGTCCTTAGAAATTTCTGTAAATATTCTCGAATAATCTACAAATGTTTTATAAATATTTCCGCATAATCCATAATTCTTTTATATATCTATGCAAAATATATTTATAGAACATTTATAGATTATTTTAGGAAGATTAAAAATAGGGTATCGCATATTCTGTATACATTTATAAAACAATTATAGGATATTTGTGAATTTATTACAACAATTCATAAATGAGAATTGAGAATTGAGAATGGAGAGTTTAGAATTACTGACAATGAGTAGTTTAATTTATGGAATAATGTTACTGTACAGATTAAATTATTTAAGATTCTTTAGATTTTTAAGATTTTTGGTGAAATGATAATTAGTCATGATTTAATTTTTGCTAGAAGGAAGAGGTGCTATCTATTTGTCGTAATTAGATTTCTTTTATATAAAGAATAGAAGGAATAGAAAAGCGGGTTAAAACAATATTATTTAACACTGGCACTGTTTCTCTTATGGAGATGTCATCGAGTTTTGTCGTGGTGACGTCACAAGTCCGTGAGCCAATGAGATGGCGTTTCGTTTATGTTCAAATGTGACGCTTTTTAAAACATTATTTATAAAAATTTGGATTAACATAAAAATATAATTATAGCAATTTTATATTTTTTACATTATATATAATATTATATTATATATTTTTTTTCAAAGCATTTTAATTTTTTGTTTTGTACCCACTTGGAGGAGAACATACTTTCTATGATACTCTATTTGTGTGCAAACTTCAACCCGGTATCTAAAAAATTGTAGAAGTAGATGCGTGTACAAAAAAGCTTCTTCTATGAGGAAGCAAAAAAGAAAGATCGTTGATTAAAGTTGATGGGGATGATGGAGAACCTCATGAAGATTGATTTTTATACGACAAAATAATATGAGATAATTTTATTTCTTTAAATTGTCCTTAAGCACTAATTAAAAATTATGCTCTTTCTCTTACAAATGCGCAACGTTGTATTAAAATCACTGGCAAAACTCTTTTATTTTTAATATAATTTTTAATATAATTTTTAATATAATTATTTTTCTAATATAATTATTAGACAACATGCTTGATTATTTAGAAATATGTTTTATATCTGAGATTACAAATATAATTCGCACTATAACTAGTATACATAGTACTAATTTTGAAAATAGAATCTGGAATGTGTGATAACAATAATTTTTATCTTATTTTTTCAAGAATAATTATGTTATACTTCCAATTAACGTAACTTAAGTAGTAAAAAAAGTATTATTTCATATCCGTTATTATATAATTGCATTTTTCTAGTTATTACACAAAAGACATAATGAAATTTTAGTATTTCTTGGCAAGTTTCTCATAAAAGATATATATTTTTTTTCTATAAAATGTAAGAATGTTCTATAAAACTAAGATCTATAAAATAAACGTAATACTGTCGTTCGATTTCTCCCATTTTTAGTTGTAATAAAATACTCTTCAGTATAGATAAATGTATATATAAAAATCTAAGACTCATGTCAGTTTTCTACGATATATCTATCAGTTCCTTGCCTAGCACGGAATAAAAACGTTTTAAAATATACATTTCCAATTTCTTCGTGCTAGTTTTTATCTCTAAGGTGTAAGTTTATATTAACACTTTACCGATATAGATTTAATAAACTGACACAAATAAAAATAAAAAAAAAACTTTTATATTTTGAACCATTCATAAATTTTCAAAAAAATTGACAAAGTGTTAATAAGTGTTAATTCGTACACTATGTAAAAACGAATCAACCTACAAAGTAAGAAAACTGACTGCGCTCGATAGCAAGAAATATTCTGAAGCTTATGAATATTTCAAGCAGACAACCTTTCCCTTCTCTCGACATTAACATAGGTAAACTCATTTTTATATGAATTTTTTTGCACCTTATCTGTATATTAGTTATCGTAATCAATGTAACTGTTGATATATCGGTGACGATTGTCCGTCGGTCACACCTTGCGCTGCCAATTCTGCGAGCGTTCTTTCGAGGTAACTATGGTCGGGATAACCATAACCGGACGTGGACGGTCCGAGCTCGGTCTTGTGATGAATCTCGTTCCACGTGACAACGTCCTCGCGACCGGTAGTGACCGATCGGCCGATTGTGAAGATTAGTCTGCGCTCAAACGCGATTTGTAACAGCCTTAATACACGGCGGCCGAGATTATTGTCCGGCAGGTAGCACACCCGGGGAAAGCCCACAGCATAATACGCCTGGCCCGGATTCGGATGCTCGTTACCTTGAATTCCAGATGGGATACTGAAAAAAATTAAAATTAAGATCAATATACCGACGCAGGTTTACGATTGTTTCTCCCGCGAGTATATTTGTACAGAGAAATAAAATTAATCTATGTTTTATGCATTTCAAATCAGATTCATTTAAAATTAAGTTAGCTTATTCCGAATAAAATCTATTTAAAATTGTCTTAAAACTGTCGATATACAGAAACCTTTCTAGGGAATAATTACGACGTAAGATTTATATAAGTGGATTTTCTATAGAAATTAAAAATAAAAGATTTGGGGAAGTACTTCACAACTTGTGGATTTTTTCGACTTGGTTTACAAATTTGTGCGATAAATATAGGTTGTCTCTTTTCTATACTTACTCATAAGTGATTTGTATGGTATTGGTGTTCGGGAAGCCCGGTAATGCTCGCGGTATCCGCGTCCAGTTCATCATACCCGGCGGCTGATTGCCTCTCTTCTCGCCGTAGATCATACGGCAAACTGGACACTGTATGTACATAGGTGGCTGCTGGCAGCTAAGCATCGCGTTTAAACACGCCAAGTGCAGTCTGTGTCTGCAACGTGTCAGTTCGACTGTCAGTGGCTCCGGAGCGCCTAGGCACACCGGACATGAATCGGAGCCGTCGCTTTCCACTACCTTCACATACTGGGATATCACGTCTGATGTGGCGTCCATTCCTACAGGATTAATATTAGATATATTTATTTATCTAATATCCACTCCAAACACTATATGACGTTTGAGAAAAATACCAACTCATTTAAATATAAGTATACAAATGCGTGCAAATATTAAGGTAAGTGTAATTTCGATTGATGAATACACGACTATATATATATATATATATATATATATATATATATATATATATATAAGTTATTGGTTTATCATATTTAAAAAAAATGTAAATTTATAGATGATTGAATAACTAAAACGAGTAAATAAATAATTTTTGTAAGCGCGCACCGAGAATGGAGTCTTTGAACACGTCGTCGCTTCCCATGCTACTGTCCAGCAAATCTACCGGATTCTCGTGACTCAAATACGTGGACACGGTGTCCACGCTTGGCCTGCGACCGCTTTTGATGCTGCTGGAATCGACGTCCAGCACCGTATCCCAGGTCTTCCTCTTCTGACCGGACTCCACGTTCGTCGCCGCAGGATTGTTCTCGATGCCATGTTTGCTGCTGAATATGTTGAAGTTACTGAGAATAACGCGCGCGATGTTGGTCGGTCCGTTCGTCTCTCCGTTTTTACCCTAAAAAGGAAAGGCAACTCGCGAGTGAGATCTCCACAGGAATTGATGCCACGTTGAAGAAAGGCGGAACTCACTTTCTTATTGTTTTTCTTCGTACTTCCGTTAGATGACTTCTTATGCGTAACCTTGACGGCGGAATTCTTGACCGTAACCGACGCAGATCTCCGCCCGGAAGTGACTTGCAATTCCTCCAGCGCGACTTTGACCAACGGATAGGGCGCCTGTTGTATGCGTCTTATCGGCCTTACGTAGCCTGTGCAGCATCTCACTTGCGTCAGATTGCAGAAGTTGATGATGTAAGGGAAACCCAAGTAAGTCTTGGAAATGTCGATGGTTTTGTCACCCTGGGAAACAATATTTCATTAAAAGATTCAAGCACAAAAATTATTTACCTTACACTATTCGTTTGCTTACTCTCGCCCATGCTTCCTCTATGAGACATTGCACTTCCATGTCGTAAGTATGCCAATCGTCCGAGTCACCTGTCCATTCCCATTTAGCACCTTTACCGGCCGGCGAACCCGGCAGATAAAACTTTCTCCTCACATTGTGTGTCTCGTCGCCATCGTCGCTGCATTGTGTTTTTGTCTTCAAGTTGATGTAATACCTAATTTTCAAACAAATTGATGTATATTATTATTATTTTCAAGTTCAAGAATTACAGGTATATATATATATATATATACATATATATATATACACACAATATATATATATATATATATATATATATATATATATATATATATAAAGCGCATGATTTAATTGCCTATTTCTGCCTCTTGTATAGTTCTCGTAATTTGAATTATTGATAAAAATTCATAAAAAATAGATAAGAAATTTTATATCTTTATTCGATAATAATTGAAAAAACATCAACACTTATATATTTATAAAAATAATTATATATATAAAATACAATACAAAATAAAATAAAACAAAAATTATATATATAAGTATACAAATATTATATATATATATATATATATATATATATATAAAATAAAAATGCTTGCGTTCTCTTATTTCTCTCTAAAAATAAACTAAAATAAAAAATACTTGATGTCAAAAGCAATCACTGAGCAATCAATTAATAAATAAATGATGAATTTTCGATAAATAATCAACTGTAGCTAATAATTAAAATTATATATTCGCCATATACACATCTGCCCATTCCGTTTTCAACTTTTCTCCTCTCTTTTTTCTGTTTTTTTTTCTTCTTTTCCCTGCAAAACCCTAACATACACCTGCCTCACTTTTTATCGCGGGGCAAGTGCAGTTAAGGCGAACAGTCCACAATCGTATTTTGAACACGTGTCGCTCGGACGGACCTGTCGAGGGTGGGATCCGCATCGTTGAGGAACACCCGCGTGAGCTTCTTATAATGGGCCCGTTCGAGATGCTGCGACACGGCCGGACTGTAGGGCCTCCACCGTCCGTGACGATTCTCCCATTCCCACACGACCACCGCGTGTCCGTGCTCCTGCCCCTGGGCGCTCATCCTCCTCAATCCTCCTTCCCGGCGCCCCTTGCCCCTCGAACGCTCACTCACTCC